TCTCCCACCATCTTTCTTTATTCTTTAAATGATGCATTTTAGAAAGAATAATCCAATAGAAAGTAAGGTGGATTCTATAGATGCTAGGTGTCATTAATGAGAGACACCTAAATTTTCTGTACCCTTCTGTAAAATGCAGACAGAACATATGCTCTTCCTATGCTAAAGAAATACGGAAAGGATAAAGTTTAATCAAAAGTAAGTGTGACAAAAAGTACAGTACACAAAATGAGGGAAGAGTATGATATAGTTGTCACTCCTACACTCCTCAGTCCTATATTTTAAGCTATAATTGCCACATGAGCAGACATGGAAGGTAGGTGGATATGTAAGCAAAACTCTAAGATCAATGGTTGGCAAACTACTGCCCATAAACAAAGTTCAGCCTACCACTTGTTTTTTTTTCAATAAAGTTTTATTGGAATGCTTAAACACCCATCCATGGATGTATTATCTAAGGCTGCTATCACAGTAAAGCAGAATTGTGCAGTTGTGACAGACGATATGGCTCACAAATTCTAAAATACTTATTCTTTGCCCCTCTACAAAAAAGTGCGTTGACTCTTCTGTAGAGTATCGAGAAATATTCCTTTTTTTATCCACTCTCCTCAGCACCAAATTTACCAAGATGATCCATTAGGGCAGTGATGGCGAACCTATGACACGTGTGTCAGAGGTGACACGCGAACTCATTGTTTTGGTTGATTTTTCTTTGTTAAATGGCATTTAAATATATAAAATAAATATCAAAAATATAAATCTTTGTTTTACTATGGTTGCAAATATCAAAAAATTTCTATATGTGACACGGCACCAGAGTTAAGTTAGGGTTTTTCAAAATGCTGACACGCCGAGCTCCAAAGGTTCGCCATCACTGCATTAGGGCATAAAATAAAAATGTTAAAATTTATATTTATAATTCGTTTCATCTAAGAAATAAGAAAGGGATTAAGACTTACTACTTTGGCAATGGAGCCATGTGTCCCATAACATATATGAGGAATCCTGAGCAAAAGAGGGACTTCCACAGCACAGAGGGGTTACCTACTATGCATGACCTGTTCATACACTTTCAGCACATCGTGACTGCTACTATTCCTGGGTGTCTGGCTAAGTGGCTTTAGGGATTATATTATATATTTTTAATTAATTAATACAAAATGAAGAAAGGGGTTTGTGAGGATTCTTTCAAAGATAACACAGAATGCATATTCTAGTAATTAAGCAAGCATAAACATACAACAGATAAAAATGATAGAGCTAACATTGTATCTCCTAGTATAAGCTCTTTGAGGCAATAAAATGATTATAATTTAAAGACATGCTCATTCAGATTAATCCTTTATATATGTGTCTATGTGTATGTGGGTGTATCCATGTATGTGTGTTTGTGTGTGTGTTCATGATCACGCTCTCCAGCAATCATGCCCCGTCACACCCTTATCCTAACTGTACACTCATTTCTGAAACCACTGGGTGCTCACCAACATCTCTGACTGATACCTGACTTGAGTTATTTTTCTTTCCATCCCACCCTTTTTCTCCAACCAGAAACACTCAATGTTGCTATACAAAATCAATGCTTCATCTGCCCCTAAGATTGAGAATTGTAATTGTACATGTCCCTTTGAATCCTGAGGGAACAACCTGGAAACAGGTCTGTAAGTATCCCTTCCCTACTTCATTTTCTCCTTCCCTGCCCAAAGTTTTTTCCTCTCACCATAATTAGAAATATGAATTAAAATCTGCTAGATTTCAGCTTTAAAACACATGTACATAGGACCCAAAGAAGAACAACAGACTTTGAGAGTTTTAATATAAGAATCCTAGAGACCTACGTAGAAATTTTAACTTCCACCCTAGCCGGTTTGGCTCAGTGAATAGAGCGTTGGCCTGCGGACTGAAGGGTCCCAGGTTCAATTCCGTCAAGGGCATGTGCCTTGGTTGCGGGCACATCCCCAGTGGGGAGCGTGCAGGAGGCAGCTAATCGATGTTTCTCTCTCATCGATGTTTCTGACTCTCTATCCCTCTTCCTTCCTCTCTGTAAAAAATCAATAAAATATATTTAAAATTTTTTTCAACTTCCTCCTTCACTGTAGGGAGATCTTGCCAATAACACTCTGGATCTCTGTTATGCTAACCTGTAAAATGGGTGTGATATTACCGGTCTTTCCTTTATCATGGTTATCAAGGATACCTTGAGACAGTCTATGAATTATAAGATCATTTTAAACTATGAGTATTGGATAGATTTTAAAGACCGATCTTTTTTTTTTTACTTTAAATCCATACTAAAAACAAAACAATTCAGAAGGTGGAGGAAGGAGGGAGACAGCAAAAAAAAAATATATGGTTTTCTAGCTGACATACACTCTGAATATTTTACATATGCAATTTGACTTAATCCTCATAACAACTGCATGATCCTTCAATTAGATGCTCTGATAATTACTTACCCAAATCACACCATCAGTAATTGATCCTACATCTATCTAAATTGACCCATTTTAACCACTGCACTGCATGTACACACTTTATAGCTTTGGATAAATGACTTATTCTTTTGGCAACTTGTTTTTCTCATTGTTAAAGGGATAGAGAGAAACATCACTACCACAGGGCACTGGCTACATTATCATCACTAATCCTAATAAAAGTCCATTTTTAGAAGTGCTTTGTATTCATTTTTTCTTTGAGAAACTACGACAGCATTAAAGCACTCTACCAAGCCAGCTGGTTGGGGGTTGATGGCGGAGTGGCGCTAAACTTCAACCACCAGCTCCAAATCCATTTTCCTGCCTGGCGGTATATTTTGTGTGATTAACTAAGACAACCTAAATGAAACTGCATAGCGAAATATCTGGCACACAGTAGGTATACAATATGTAGAGTATGTTTTCTTGCCTAAATAAACTTATCTTTTCTCTTGGAATATAATCAGCATAATAACTGTGCTCTATTTAGAAGGCTGAAAATTAGGACTGAAGAGAAACCTCAGTCTGGGTTGACTAAATGAAGGAAAAGCTGTGGTTGGGGTATGAATGTAGACTGTGATATGCAGCCTGCAAATTTTCCACTAGGTTCCTTCTTGCCAGCATGTGCTATTTGAGTAAACTTCACTCTCAATTCTTTTGTTTTTGAAGAAAAACATTTCCAGCTAATAACACAATTACACTTAAGTATCAGAGCTCATTTTAGTATTATTGCATTTGTTAAATCTAACTGAGTCCAAATTACTTCCTCATTGCTCATAAGAGAAGGGGAGGAGGAAAATGAGGGGGGAGGGAAGAACTGAGGTGGGGAGAGGATTGTGAGGGTTAAAGGAAGAGAAGGAGACATATGCACAGAGGGACAGAGACAAAAACAGAGATATCAATGCTGCATATAGCCTCAAGTCCAATAAATGTCAGTTAAACTTGCTGCCCACGGTTTCTATGGAAACCCCTTAAGTTAAGAGTGGAACACAGACATTTTTTGGACTGCAATTCACAAGCTGTTTATTTAATTATGATGAAACATGGGACTTTTTGGGCCAATACTATTATCATACTGATAGCATTTAGAATTCAACAAATAGGTATAGCAAAATAAAAAGTTAATCTCTTTTTTTAAAAAAAAACTATTAGCTCCATGTGATTTGCATGCAAATAATATGCATTTTGAATTTACAGGACTTCACACATGATTTCCCGAAGGCGAACCCCAAATTAGCTAAATGACATTTGCTAAAAGGGAGTTCTTCAGAGGTCTCATGCCAATTAGACACCCCCCATGCCCAGTGAACAAAACCAAGGTCACAGCATATTTTCAATTAAACCCAGGATAGCACCAAAATGCAGCACAGCTGGAAAAGCAAGCTCATTATTACCTCATAGATCATTTGTGAGCAATGAATAGGTCTCTGGTGCTTTGCTGTTATACAGACATTTGAATATAAAAATAAAGAAAACAGCTTCAGATTAGCTTTTGACTTCCAAAATAAACAACCACTTTTAGGGCATTATTCCTGGTGCCCACCCCCCCCTCCCTGAGAGAGAGAGAGAGAGAGAGAGAGAGAGAGAGAGAGAGAGAGAAGAAAACACTAGAAGTCATCATTTCTCTGTCTCTAATTAGAAAAGGTTTGCTTTGCCTTTAATTTGGCAACAAGGTACCATCTGAAGGATGGACTCATTCAAACTCTTGTTCCTTCAGTAAACAAACAAGTAGTGTCATTCTACTGTGTGTCAGGCACTGTTCTAGGGACAAGGAAGGCAAGAAGATTAAACCCTACTCCCAACTTAATTATGGACTTTTTAGAAGGGAATGCATTAATGTTGTTGGTAAATATTTAAGGAAGGACAACTATGGCTCATAGGTACTGGACTAAAATAAATCCAGGATCCTGCCTTCCAGGAGATGACAATGTAATGGAGACAAAAAGACACTTGATCATAAGTCGCAGAACAAGAAGTCAGTACTTCTGCCTGGGGCCTCCTGATCTCCTCTCTATGGATAGAAATGCCACCCACGGGTGCTGTGCTACAGTCAGGGGTAAGCGTGTTTGTGCATATGGCATGATTGGCTGCTGGGGGGGTGTGTGGTGAGGAGGGAGCTCCAGAAATATTTCCACAGGAGAAACACTAATCCAGCTCCAACCATGAGCCACCATTACCCTTATAACATATTTAGCCCTTAAAATATGACTGAAGGAGGAGGCACTCACAAGAGAAGGGAATCCCAAGGACAGCCATCTCTGGGGCCAAGCTGGGAACATGAAGGCTGTTTCTAAACTGGCAAAGAGAAACATACAAGGAATTTGCAAAAAATGACTCCACATATGTCTTTTCTGCTATATTGCAGCCTCTTTTTTTTAATCCATTAGTGGTTTGCAGTTGCTCATGCTGGCAAAGCCAATCATTGCTGTTATTGGAGTTGACAGTGTATAATGAGCCACTGCCCATTAGCTGATGCTGTGGTGTTCAGGATGTTGTGGGAAAGATTAAGCATGAATTGTCACCTACCTAGCTCTCCATTGTGGTCTCCATGCGTAAACAATCTAAAAAAACAAAAGCATACATTAGAACAATTCAGCGTATTTCTCTATCTGCAGCCACCACTATCACCACAGACAACACTGGTGACAATATTTACTATTGAATCACAACTGTATTTTAACACTCTCCTGGGAAGAAAGCCAAAGCAACTATCTTTACCATTGACCATTTTGAACAATGCATTATTTAATGCAAATAAAAAATACAATTGGTGTCAGAAGATCTGTAGTTTATACTTGGTTCTGATTTATCAGATGCATGACCTTAAGCAAGTTCCATGTTCTCTCTGTTCCAGTGTCTTGATCAATACCACCTCTGAAGATCAAATGGGATAATGTATTTTGAATATATATTAGAAATAATTAAGCAGAACTCTCTGAATTATTAAAGTCAAATGACATGTTAAGAGTTTGACATTGGTTTCTGCTGCAAACTCCAATTGTTCCCCCTCCCCCCACATCCCAAACCAAGAAAGATACGAACATCTCCTCATCTTCCCCATCCTTCATCCTGCCCCTACTCTCCTCCTAACACTCCGGTGCAATGGCAGATTAAAATTTAGAATCTGCTCTTGAGGGCCACAGAGTAATTGAAGCAAAGAAACATGAAGAGGTCGAGTTGGCATTTTGCACAGCATGATGAAATAAACGAAACAATCTTTCATTGCAACCAATACAGTACAAATCTTTACAGCTTAGATGTGCAGTTGGTGCAAGCTGCCAAAAAAGAGGAAATCGTGAACAAGAGCAGATAGAAAAAGCCCATGCACTTAGTCATCAAGGCCCAGGGACCGACACGGATATTGAAATCACCAAGAATTCTATCAGGAGCAGGACTGCAGAGAACAACAGGGAGGCAGGTGTTAAAATCTTCAAGGGATGAGGAGGAGTGAAGTGTGTGTCTGCGGTTGACTCCTTCAAGGAGGTGCTAGCAGGTGGTGGAGTCTGATGGTGTAAGCTTCAGAGCTGAGTGTTTTACTGCGTGACATGGTTTTGTTTGAAACAGATAACGTAAGTCAAAATGTTTCATAAACTTATAAGCAATATATCATGGATAAATATCATTATTATTCCATAAGTAAAACAGAATAAGATTAAATTTTATTTCTGAGATGATCTGTGCATTTTTTGTCATCGGTTTTAAAAAACGGTTTGGCTGGTTTGGCTCAGTGGATAGAGCCTCAGCCTGTGGACTGAAAGGTCCTGGTTTTGATTCCAGTCCAGGGCACATGCCTGGGTTGTGGGCTCGATCCTCAGTAGGGGGCATGCAGGAGGCAGCCAGTCAATGATTATCTCATCATTGATGTTTCTCTCCCTCTCCCTTCCTCTCTAAAATCAATAAAAATATATTTTTTAAAAAATGGGTAACAGGCCGAAACTGGTTTGGCTCAGTGGATAGAGCGTCGGCCTGCAGACTGAAAGGTCCCAGGTTCGATTCCGGTCAAGGGCATGTACCTTGGTTGCGGGCACATACCCAGTAGGGAGTGTGCAGGAGGCAGCTGATCGATGTTTCTCTCTCATCGATGTTTCTGACTCTCTATCTCTCTCCCTTCCTCTCTGTAAAAAATCAATAAAATATATATATATGAAAAAATGGGTAACAGTCTTATAGAAAGTTTCCCCAAATCTCACAGTTTCAAGAACCATTAACTATCCTTCAATAGGGCATATAAAATATGAGTTATAAGTTAATGTGCTTGGGATTTATAATAATGTGAGAGCAAGGCAATGAGTAATGATACACATGTGTAGAGGGGGCAAAGAAGAGGCGGGAGATACACTTAGGTCCATTGCTAAATCAAGCAGCCAATTCTCATTTCTCAGATTAGGCAAAAATTAGCAGCATTAGACCAAGTGACCACTCTGTCCTCCCTGCACTTGGCTCCCAGGAAATCCCTCTCAATGTTTCTTTCACCTCATTGGTCACTCTGCTCAGCCTCCATCAGTAGCTCTGCCTTATCTTTTGGGCCACTAAACCTTAGAGTGCACCTGGGCTCCCTTAGGGGACCTCTTCTGTATCTATACTTACTCTTTCAGTGGTCCCATAGTGGCTTTAAACACCACTACAAACTAAAGACTGCCAAAAATATAAACATCTATAGCCGGCAACACAGATATGTATCCACTAATTTAAGACCTCCAGTTGGAGGCTTTGGAAATAACCTCTCCAAAAGAAACTCTTGTTCTAACTCAACCTCCACTGCTTCCTCAGGAAACTTGTACAGACAGAGCTGTAGCTATATAGGCACATGACAATGGTACTTCTCTTATCCAAATATCTGTAGGCTTGGCTCCTTCACTTCCTAATATCTGTAGGCTTGGCTCCTTCACTTCCTCCAAGCCAGCTGCTCAGAGAGGTTTTCCTCAGCTCTGCTGCTTAAAATATAACTCTGCTTTATTGCTCTTTCAAGCATTTCTCATAACTAGCGATAATGCGTATGTATGTATGTATGTGTGTATGTACGTATGTATGCATGTATGCATGTATTTTGTCTCCTACAACATGAAGTCTCAGGACATAGAGTTCATATGATAGTCTCAGGACATAGAGTTCATATGATTTGTTTATTGATAGAGCCCATCAATGGTCCAATGATATAGAAAAGGAGGTGAAAGGGGGAGTATAAACATGGAGATGATGAGGAATCCTAAATCAGAGCATGTGATAGCACACAGAATGTAAGTTGATAAAATTCCAACATTACACGTAGTGATTTTGTGACTTACGCAAGTTCCATGATATTTTTAGCCTTCAATGCTCTCTTCTGTAAAGTGAGGGTGAAAATAATAGAGCCGAGCTCCGAAGGTTTTTTTGTTCATGAAATGAGGTGATGCCCATGAACCAACTAGCTTGGCATATTGCAAGCTCCCAGAAAGAAATAATATGGAGTATCCTCAAAAATGTATGCACACACTTTGAATAATTATAAAGGCAGTGTTTATTAAAATACATTTCATTTGCAAAATTGAGCTATCAGCTGTTAAAGTGTGCATACATTTTTTGGGACACCCTGTATTTTATGTTTTTCAAATCAAATGTGGGATTTTCTAGAACAATAAACAATAACTATAAGCAGCAAAGTCTCAATCAGTACCACTTTGAAATTTTAACTGAAAATTAATCTGGTTGCCCTGTCGAGGTTAAGCATGTGATTATGTGAGAAGGTGTTTATTTCAAACATGGAAAAATCCCTGGGAAGTTAGAGGTCCTATTGAGCCATTTGTATTTTTAAGTTGTTTATTTAGATTCAGCTTTTCTGTATGTGGTTTATATGCCGTTGCTACTATGTGACTTAATCTCTATCCCTCTGCCTAGTTTTTAATACACTTTAGTGGTGGGGCTGGGGGGGAGGGGGCGGGAAATAAAGCCAGAATATGTAATTCAGTACAAGACAGAGAAGTTACCCACTTGCTCAGCCATAGCCTTAAAGTACAGTGATACAGCCATTTGCAAATCATGGAAAGCTAATGTGTGCGTGACATTTTCTTTTACGATAGCTGCTCAGAAATGATTACTTCTCACTAGTTCTATTCTGACTTGCTCCTTTGTCATCTGGCATGCCCACAGAGAGAATTAACCCCTTGCTTCTCATTTTTTACCATAATATTCTCTTCATTATGCCAGTTACCACCTTGTGAGAACCAAGACTATATCCTATTAATCAGTACATTGCCACTGCAGGAGGCTGTGCTGAGCAAACACAGGAAATAAACATTTTTTAAATGAAGTGAATATCTGAATGTAGACATGGCTGAATATATATGCTAATTAAATACCTCTTCAGCCATTAGTGGAACCCTAGTTTAACACTGGAGATCAAGATGTGTGGGAGTAGGAGATGCTACAAAGCGTCCTTGATTTTCAAATAATGACACCAGGTCGACCTCCTGCTCTAGCCCATCTGATCTCTGGTCTGAAAGAACACATGATAGCTGTGGTCTGTGTAAATGTGGCATTTATCTTCATGAGTGTAGTGATGAAGAATGAATCAGGACTGGCACAGTCCTGGCTGACTTATCTCTCCTCACAAATGAAGATAAATAGCACAACATATTAGCCACTCTGCATTATATATATTTATTCCACATTTGCACCCACACAAACAAACATACACTAGGCTTTCCTCAACCTGATTGTCTTTCACTTTCAAAATATACAGTGAACAATAACAACAGAAAACCTGTGGAAAGTCAGAGGGAAGAAAAATGCTGAAATAACTTCTATGAGATAAGCCATGAGCCCTGTAAGCAGATACTGCAAAAGACCCTATCTCTGGGATCTATAACATGGCTGCAAGCCTCAAAATAAGATTTCCACCCCTCTGTAGCTGCTGTTGTTAAACTACTGATATGAGAAAGTTAAAAAGACCCCCAAGGTTACTACACTGGGCACTCTCCAACCTATGGAAAATTGCTAAGATGGTGGTTTTAACACAATGGTTTCCAAGACCTCCTCCTGGTCATCTAACAGATAGTCCTCTTAGTTTACTTTTAATATCAGATGATATTAAATATCTTCAAATGATAGCACACAGTTTTAATTTCTTAGTTGAACTAGTATGTCTTCATTAAGCTTCTAAAATTGTGGTAAGGTGGACAGGGTGCAAAAGGCTGAATACTGATATCATTAGGGATGCTATCCCTGCCCAATTCTCATGGTTAGATAATGTGGTACTCAATGTCAGCCAGCCATTGGATATTGCCTCTTCTAGGTTCTAATGCTGCAGGATGTAGCATCATTTTAAGTTATTGTATTCAAATTGAAACCTGGCCCTGTTGGGAAGAATTTAGTCCCCTCAGTCTAGTTCACTAGAAATGTTTATGTCTAGATTATCAGAAAGCCAAGTCTGTCCTTGCCAAGGCAGTTGGAAGTTCCAGTCTTTGCCTCTTATTGCCCATACCCGATTTCCCCCCAATGTCGTTAGTCCTTCTCTCCATTTAAGAGTGGGCAATGTACCAATGCACCTCTGCCTGCAGGCAGAACAAATCCTGGCCATCTTCTCTAGCTTAATACTCACACTCAGCCTCATGACACCATTGCTTCAGATTTAGCTCTTATCTTATGCTCTGTTAGCTTATACTGTATGCTCTGTCTACTTTGGGAAGTGCTACCAGTTTGGCTCCAACACCATGACTTCGTATTTACTTGTGATACTCTTGTGGGATATCTGTCCTCTTCACTGAGTCTAAATCTTACTCATTATAACATATCCAATAACCCAAGTCCTCAATGACTTAGGATATGGCTTGTTCTAGATATCAAATATGACCACGTTAAACCCCTTCAGCACTGAGACCCTTTCTGATATGTATCTTATTCAACATTAATTGGATGCTTACTAAATACCAGGGACTATTCTAGACACTCAGGATTCTGCAGTGAGTCAGACAGTGAAGAATGTAGCATGGAGCTTCTCTTTTAGGGATTAGACAGATAACAAACAATCCAGAAATTATCAGGTAGAAATAAGTATTGAAATAAAAATAAAATAGTGATGATACAGGGAATGACTGAGGGGGAATATTACACTAATTTGGTCTGGGAAGACCCTTCTGAGAAAGAGACATTTAAGTTCAAGAATAAAAAGAAAGAACTCAGACATAAAAAGATATGGGAGAAAACTGTCCCAGGCAGACAGAGAAGGTTTGAGGGCATTCTGACATCTAAATGTTTGTGTCTCTCCAAAACTCATGTTAAATCCTAATGCTCAATGTGATGGTATTAGGGTGTGGGCCTTTGGGAGGTGATCAATCCTGAGAATAGAGCCCTCATGAATGGGATTAGTGCCTTTATAAAAGAAGCTCCAGAAAAAAACCCCAGCCCCTTCCTCTTTGTGTGCACACAACTAAGTCTACAACCTGGAAGAGGGCTTTCTCTTGACCCTACTGGCACCCTGATCTCTGCCAGCCTCTAGAACTGTGAGACATACATTTCTGTTTCTGATAAGCTACCCAGTCTGTGATATTTTGTTATGGTAGTCCAAGCAGACTAAAACAAAAAGAACATTATACCTATAGAATGATAAGGGTAAAAATAGGCTCGTCTGATAGGAATAGAATAGACAAGCAGAAGAGTAAAATATGTAAGTGAAGAATGTATTAGTTTTCTTTGGGTTCCAGAACAATTTTCACAAATTTGTTGGCTTAAAACAATATAAATTTATTCTCTCCCAATTATGGAGGTCAAAAGTCTGAAAGCTGGCCCTTGTCCTCATTCCTATGGCTGGCTGTGCCTCCTTTAACTTTACTTCTAGAGTCTTCCCTGCCTATTGTCCAATCTTGTTTCTATTTTTGAATTTTAATTTTATTTACTTTATTTTTTTATCCTCACCTGAGTATATTTTTCCATTGATTTTTAGAGAGAGTGGAAGAGAGAGGGGAAAGACAGAGAGAAATACCAGTGTAGAGAAACGCATTGATTGGTTGCCTCCTGCACACACCTTAACCAGGGTCTGGGCCAGGGAGGAGCCTAGAAACAAGGTACATGCCTTTGATGAGAACTGAACCCGGAACCCTTTGGTCTGAAGGCTGACAGTCTATC